GTGCATGATTGTTCTTTCATGGTCATATGTTAACGCATTAGCAAGGAATACTTACCAATGGGTTTTTTATTAACACTCTTTACTTATGCTCTAAGGTTAGGTTTGTTGCGCTCTTTTTAAACAAGACACCAATAATTCTAAGAATAAATTCTCATGTACCCTTGCAGAACATAGTACGACAGGACGTCGCATGGTTTGACACTCAGTCCTCCGGCAAATTAATCACGAAACTAACTTACAGTGTCGACCAAATCGAAGGTGGAATCGGCGATCGTTAAGGCACCTTTATTCAGAGTGTCACCACGTCAATTGCTACGGCTGTGGTCTCACTGATTGTTGGATGGAAATTGGCCCTGGTCTCCTTTACACTGTCCCCAGTAATTCTTGGGGCCTTTGTGACCCTTGGCTTTGCGCTTCGCAAATTTTCGGCTAAAGAAATAGTGGCCTACGAGAAAGCTGGTTTGATTGCTGCAGAAATTCTCGCTGCTATTCGAACTGTTTTTGCCTTTGGTTGCCAAGAAAAGGAATCTCTTCGGTACGAAAATGAGTTGGGTGCATCGGCACGCGTTTTTATGTTGAAAAGCTTGCTCATGGGCATCGGTAAGTTGCGTTGAATTTTACGTAAATTTATGTTGTTATTTAGTTACAAATTTAAACATTGCGATGGCGTTTCACATCATGGAATTGCAGAATTGCCTTTGCATTTAATAAGGCAAACAAACCAAATCAATTTAGGGTCAGAAGTTACGGCATTTGTTTGGGTGCGGTAACTTCCTATTAACTGATTTTAAACTAGTTTAACCTTTGCATATTCTGAAATGCTACTTAAGGCGGAGATGTTTTTGCTTTACTTTTTGAGCAATTATTAGTTTGTTTGCAAAATTATCTGTTTGATGGACCTAGGTATGGGAATGGTTGGATGCACTATCTATTGTGCAGCTGCACTGATTCTTTGGTATGGTGTTGAGTTGATAATAACGGAGAACTACGACAATGGTAACGTTGTTTCCGTAAGTGTACAGACAGTCTTTATTTGAAGAATTCGCTCGGTTTAATACTTAAAATGAAAGGGTTTTAGACATTTATCGATGCTTTTCTGCAAAGCACGTTTTGCAAATTGATTTGATTGTTATAACTATCGAACTCGTTGCTTAATAAAAGCTTTTTTACCCTTTTGTTTGAAAATATTTTTATTGATTGTTCGTTTGCCGATTGTTGTCTCGTAATACCTCTTCTACATGACAAGTACACTCATTTGGGATTATAGGTATACAAGTATTAACAGCTTAGATAGTTCAAACATTTGAGATTATAATACTTTGATTGTATTGCAAAACTTATCTTTGATTTCAATATATACTTATTGAATACTTATCTTGATGCCACCACACTGCACATATATTGTCTTCATGTGCTGACTACAACTGAAATTGATTAGGGTTGTACAAGTGTACTGCCTCTAATCATGCATCAACCCAGTTGCTGCAGCGTGTCACAATTTTATTATGTTTCCTACGAAATTGTTAGGTCATGATATGCTTCATAGTTGGAAACACTTCGCTCGGGAGAAGCCTGCCGGAAATTGAATTCTTCGCAAATTCGAAGAGAGCAGCAGCATCAATATTCCAGATAATTGACAGAGTGTGTAAACACTTTTGATAAGTGGCTCTGCCTAATCACTTTGATCACCTTTTCAAATACGTTCTCTTTTACTTCGGTTGTGCAAACAGATTCCATCCATTGATGTGATGGGTCAAGGAGAAACACTGAAAGAATTTTCAGGAAAAATTGAATTCAGAAATGTGACCTTCAACTACCCAACCAGACCAGATGTTCAGGTTGGTATTTTGTCATATTTTACTTACCTCCTATTAATAATGTATGTGTAGAGGTCATGCTACACATACCGAATCTTCACATATCGTAATAAACTTTTATATCACCAAAACAACTCCAGTACATATTCGAATTGTCGCGGTAGCGATCAAACTCCTCTGTTAATAACAGTTTCTAACGTGGACAGAAACGCTTGCTAGAAATTGGTTCCATTTATTTACTGTAGAAAGTTTTGAAAAAAATCCATTAATTGAGGGTCTGCCATGTAATGTTATAATCCTGTAGTCCTAATGCCATTGATGTGGAATGTAAAATCCCAGTTACCTTTCCTTACCATTGGTTTCCTTCGAAAGTGTGGCAGATGCTGCAATATACCAAAATAACAAGCTTCCCGGATGGTATATGAGACAAATCTGATGCATATAGCCATATTTCACTCCAGAACACTTTGTTTCTGAATTTTTTATCTTTTTTAGGTTCTGAGTAATTTTTCGCTGACAATTAATCCCGGTGAAACAGTAGCAATTGTTGGCCCCAGTGGATCCGGCAAGAGCACAACCGTTCAGCTACTTCAACGGTTCTACGATACTGTTGGAGGAAAGGTGGGTTCTATACACATTTGAAATTCCTTTTGCTAAAAACGTGCTATTTAAAAGCCCAATGCGCTTTGATGTCCATCAGAATTTGTGAGGACACAATTATTTGTTGGACAGTATTATGCAGCGTACAATTTGGCACCACTGATAGAGTGATTTGAAGCCAACTTTAATAATTCCCATTTAAATTACAATCGTTTCGCCACTTCTTTCATCCAAGTTTCTAGTTATCATGTAATTTTTCTTACCTGAAGCATACAAGTACTGCCCATCTTATTCCTAACGTTGGAACCAAAAACCTTATAATTTAAATCTTCAGTTGATGTCAAGGTTATAATTAGATTGATTTTAAAATATTGTAAATTACAATCATAATCACAATGGGTTTACTTAATTTCCTGCATTGGATCAAAAGTGGATGAGTATAAAGCTAGCCAGAGTTTCAAGTAATGACACACCTGTTGCCCGTTACCACAAATGCGCTTGAATAACCAATTCGTAACTGCCTTGTCTAACGCAAGTCCCACCTTCACAGTCAAGGACAACAAAAAATCTCGAACAGAGAGCTTCTGCTGTCCTAGCTAAAGGCCGAGGGACACGTCACAATGGGCAGTAATTATATGCCTTGGGTGATTTGGTGACTTAGGAGGAAGCAGCCCATCTGGGAGCTGTCAGCGTGATGTAGAATAGGTCCCAATAAAATGGTGTGATATTATGTTTCTGTAGCCAAGACAGCTATGTGAAGCAAGAGAAGGTGTAAACAAAACAAGTAAGAGCTCTAACTCAAAGGAAATGTGCCTGAGAATTTTGATTTCCCAACAGAACTCAAACACATAAAGGAGTTGCTTTAAATTATAAAGAGGCTGCGCAACAGGAATCATTTGGTTACTGTTAGTTTAAACTTGGTAATGGTGTTATAACCGATTGCTTGTCATCGCACTAAAAATTTAAGATGTACACTCACATTATCATAGTTCAAAGGCAAATAGCTCGTGATAGCGCCGCGGCAACAATAGCCGACGTTTGCAGTGGGTACTTCAG